GTTTAAAATTTTTTAATAATCAAAGGATTTGGAAATATGTATTAAATTATAGTGATTTCAATTTTATATGAAACTATAAATTCAAGTTTCTAAATAGCAATTTTTTCTAACACTATTCCCTTTTATTATAGCAGAATATAATTTTTGAATATCTATTTTTCAGTTAGTATAAATGTGCTTCAAGATATACTACTTATTTTGTTACATCAATTAAAAAAAGAAGATTAAATATTAATTCATATTATTCAATTCAAAATCATATAGAAAACAAAAGTCTGTAATTTTGTATCAATAGTATAACAATCACGTTTTATCGAAAAAAAAACACAAAAATGGGATTCAAAAAAAATGATTACATTTTTTAAAAAATTTTTTAAACAGATAACTTATATATTACCTTATATATTACCTTATCAGGAAATCGCTGCAATTTTGAAAACATAAATGTCGAAGTTAATTTCCAATGTCTGAATTTATAGTACCGATTCTGACCTATAATAATTAAAATTATAATTCTTATCTATACATGAAGCAGAAACACGTGGGTTTCTAGTTTATTTTTTTGGGAAGAATTTTGACATGGCATATTGAGAAATCAGATAATGTCCCTCCGAGATAAAGAAAGCTTTGAAATAATCTCATTAATAAAAAACTTGAGAAAAAGAAGTATTTCAAGGTGAAATAATTCTGATAATGTAGTAAACAATACGGTAAGATGCGTCAATAAACTTATAGTAAAGTTTATTGTACCATGCATTATAGCGCATTTTATTTTGTTGAAGGTTTTTCGTTAAGCGTGTTTGTCTTAAAAAGTTCTTATTGCTTCTAAGGCAACAATCGTTGTTTATAACTGAATAAATTGGCCAATAGTTTGTAATACACTAACTTTGTTATATATTTTTAATATACTATAAATGTTCTTTAATTTTAAGGTTGCAGTCCAGAGTTCAAGTTTTAGTTCAGGAAATTTTGACAGGCATTAATATTGTTCATTGTTTTCACAAAATAGAAATGACTTCAGACTTTTTGAAAGTATGTCTTTTTGACGTCCTAAAAGTCCTCGAGGGTTTTAGAGAAAATATTTTATCATGTGAAATTAAATGATTTTTCGACAAACGTGAACTTGAAAATATTTAACAAAATTGTTTTTTTATTCGAATTCAGCAGCAGTTTTTTTAATCCAATTTAAATTTCATTTTTAAAATTTAATTTAACTTCAATTAAAATTAAAATTTTAAATAATTAATTTTAATTTTAATTTAAATTTTTAATTCTTTATTTTAGTTTAAATTATTAATTATTAATTCTAGCTTGATTTTTAATTTTAATTTGTAATTATTCAATTTGATCTAAATTTTAATTTTTAATTATTAATACTAGTTTAAATTGTAATTTTTTATTATTAATTTTAGTTTTAATTTTAAATGTTGATGATTAATTTCAGTTTAATTATTAATTATTTATTTTTATTATTAATTTCAATTTAATTATTTTTTTAAATTTTTAATTAGAAATTTTGATTCAAATTTCAATTTGTAATTATTAATTTTATATTAAATCATTTGTTCCGTATGACACTAGGGCATAAATGTTAGTGTGCTTCCTTGGCAAACAAGTTTCGCTGGCTAAATACCTTACAATGGCTCCGTACTCATTCACACATACTACTTTTATTTTATTATATATTTCCCTATCAATTGTGTTAATAAGTTGCTTTAAGAATAATGTTTTTGTTGACATTCATATCTCAAAACAAAAAAAGATTGTTATTTCCACAATTTGACGAAAGTTTTGTTCAGAGCATTTATTTCCGTAACAGTTTCGTTAAAAACCTAGATATATAGTAAATTTTGAGTATCCAACTCACCGTGGAATTTTTCTTAAAACTGTTTAACTCATACTACCAGCTTCATAAGCAACAAAAAAAAACAACCATTAACTTAAAAACTTTTTTAAAAATATTTTATGTCTCTTATTTTCTTCATTTCATAATTTATAAAATTTAAAAACATCCATATTTATTTCACGTTGTTCAAAAGAGTAAATTGTCATTCATTCGGTAAATATTTATTCAGAATGTAGTATCGGTTCTCAAATAGTGTTCCGTGAAAAAGTTAAAAATGTTCCAAGAGTTAGAACTTTTTTTTAACAAGTAATAATTTTGAAACTTTTATATTTAAACCTAATTAATCATCCATTATTTATTTAATATTTTGGTTGACTTTATCAAAGTATTTAAAATAAAATGCCAATAAAAATAAATAATAAATCCTTTTTTTTTAAAAAAAAAACATAAATTTTCTAATAACGATATATTGAGTAAATTATGAAAATGAAATGCATTTATTAAATATTTGTATTAGTATTCCTTAACGGACCTTTCAAAACAAAACAAAATAGCCAGATTTGCTAATAAAGAAATATGTTTTCCTTAATAACCACAGTTAACTTTAATAGCAGTACTTATAAGTTTTCATTTCAAAGAAAATCATAATTCGTAAGAAAATTTATTCGTTTTAAGTTTATTTATATACATCAAATACGATAAATCTCCAGGACTGCGAATTTAACTGTCCGACGTAAAATCTAATTTAAGATTATTAATGGTAAAACGATAAAAATAATTCCTTATATTAAATATTTTCAAAATAAAATCACATTTTGGTCTCACAATTATATTTATACACTTTATTTTTTTTTCTAGAAAGTAGGGGTTCCGCCGAAAGAAGGTTGATAATTTAGGGTTCCGTAGACGAAAAAAATTGGAAACAGCTGTATTATGAAATAGCTTCAAACATAGCTGAGGTCATCGATTAAAAATTTTTTTAAATGGTATCCGCCCAGTGCTTAATATCAGAAATAAACAAAACAAACAGCATTTCAAGAAAACACTATGTAATCTCTTACTAGTAGTAACGTAAAAAAACAAGTTTTGAGTTATTTTGAGTCTCGAAGCTTCCCCAAAGACGTCACTTGAAACAAACCATATCTAAAATAAGACCAAGGGCAATGAATTAACTTCTTTTTTTCAAGAACTGACGAAAACTGATAGGGATCATTGACGGAAAGAAGAAAAAAAAAAAGTGAAAGGACATCCTGATACGAGTTTTTAAAACAACAGAAAAGTCAGCGGACTATGAACATTAAAATATACTTTTTAAAAGGGTCGATGATCTTTTATTGTTATGAAATTCTCTTTTCTGGAGACAAGTAATTTACCTTTAAATAAAGTTAAGAAAACATATAGCAATATTGTATCACTACTATGTCTCGTTCAACGTGAGTTTTTTTTTAAAAAAAAAAAAAAAAAAAAAAAAAAAAAAAAAAAAAATATATATATATATATAAATTTTTTTAAATATAAAACGCTGAAATGTATTTGGGAATAAAAAGATTTGAAGTTGCGTTTTAATTACATGTAGATACACGGTAAAATATTCCCGATTAAATTACGGTAAAGAGTACCGGCATTCAGGGTGACATAATATTCACCATTGACTTTAATTTGATTTTGCACAAAACTTTCAAGTGTTTTTTATTTGTTAAATTTGTTAGGTTTTTCCTTTTGTACTCTAATTGTTAGAAATGAAAAATCAGTTTTCGGTCATATAGAATTCAATCAAATTCTCTTTTCTGGACAAATAATTTACCTTTAAATAAAATATATACAGTTAAGAAACCATATAGCAATATTGTAACATTACTGTGTTTCGTTCAACGTGAGTTAAGAAAACAATTTATTAATTTTAATATAAAACGCTGAAATGTATTTAGGAATAAAAAGATTTGAAGTTGCGTTTTAATTACATGCAGATACACGGTAAAACATTCCTGATTAAATTACGGTAAAAAGTACCGGCATTCAGGGTGACATAATATTCATCATTGACTTTAATTTGATTTTGCTCAAAATTTTCAAGTCTTTTTTATTTGCTAAATTTATTAGGTTTTTCGTTTTGTATTCTAATTATTAGAAATTTAACTCAGTTTTCGGTCATATAGAATTCAATCATAAGTTGTTAATTTTGAAGTAATTGTTGCATTTATTATGTTAAAGTAATTGAGAATATTAAAACCCCTTGTTCTTGATATACCCAAACTAATTTAACATTCAACTTTCCAAGTGTTATTGATTGTTATTATATTTTCCAAATTTCTCATATAGTGCTTGGCAATATTAATTTACGATTAACCCTGTTTGAACCTACATTATTAAATTTTTCTGTTGTTGGAATAAATTAAACTATATTGTTAGCTAAAATTCTATTTGTCCGCATACTGATTTTTATTTTTGATTAAAAATCATAAATGAGGGTTACTGATAGGTCAAAATTTTTGACATTTATCAGAAATTTATAAAAAAATATTTACAATATCTGTGAACTGAAAATTTAAAATTAATAAATAACACCAATGATTATTTAATGAAAATTAATAAGTAAAACCTAAGAAAATAAGCGTAAAATCAAATTAAGTAAATTGTGGTTAATTAGTTACCTGTACTTCAATAGAAATTCAACAATATTTGTAATGAATATTGATAATATCTTGAAAATTGAATGCTATTAATTTATTAATTTCATTTATTAGTGAATTCATTAATTTTTGCAACAGAAATTGTTGAATGGAAGAAATGAGTGTGAAATCAAATTCAAACGTAGACTAATATTTACAATTACTAAATTCAATAATTATTGGATTGAACCATGATAACTTTCGGAGTATTGAATGTTATCATTGTTATTAAATAGTTTTTGATATTGCAATTTTTGAATGAAAAAATGACAAAAAAATTGAATTGAATCATGGATTAATATTTTCAAGTTTTACAGCATTAGAATATTTTAAAACAGTTGTAATAAATATTGATAACACATGGAAAATTCAACAGCAACAACTGTTATTTGTCTATTTTAGTTAGCAAATGTGCACTTTATAATGTCACTGTTGTAATTATTAATTTATCTTTCATTGATAAATATAAAAAAAAATTGACTTACAGACTACCCTTTTTCTTTTTATTCTGATAAAATCAGCTTCAGAATATTCCAATCAAAAGTTAATAATGTAATGATATGGTTCAATTTATTCATTGATGGTACGATACATTTAATGGTGAACCACTTTCAAGGGAGTGAAAGTAAAACGTGACAGATTTAAATAATTAATCCGCGAATGTATTTCCGCATTTAAGACAAGTTAAGGGGTGTCACTGATTCCAGTTTATGGCCTGGTAGCCCATTGATCTCAAATAACAGAAAAGATGGCAAATCGGGATGGTGTCGCTTGCATTCAAAACAGACGATATCGGAAGAGAATCTTTTGGTGTCCTCTCTCTGAAGTTTTGTTTGGTTATGTAGTTGAGGCTTAAGATTTGGTAATCTTGCCAATTGTTTCGTCACTTTTGGCTGTGACATTTGTTGAACATTTCATAACAAAATGGCAACACATGTTTTGGGGTAGTTTGGTTGCAATTAAAGAACAGGTTTTTGAAAATTTACGTAAGTTTTTAGATGTTTAATTTTTTTAATTATGCAAATTAATTCGTGAAGGTATTTGTAATTTTAATGAATGTAAAGAAGAAAATATCTTAAAGAATTGTTTGTGTTGTGCAATTATCAGGGATAATAGTTTCATAGTTTTAAAAATTGAGTTATTTAACCATTAAATAATGTTGCTCTTTAGCTTAGTATAAAGAGTAGTTTGTTTTTGATGACATATATTAATTATTTGCTTGAGCGTATAATCAAAAGTAGTTTAAAATTATTATATTAATTATTTGCTTGAGCGATAATAAATGTGGTCATTCAATGCAAATATTGTATGCTTTATATATCTAAAAATATTTCAATTAGTTTAACAAATAAAATTTTTTAAATAAGCGAGATCATATAAATTACACTTATTTAAATAGAACTAATTATTTAATGCTAATAAATGTTTTGTGTTTTTTATATGAAGAATAAAAATTTTATTTTTATAAGCTTTTAAATACAAATAAACTAAAAAAAAGCATTCGCAAACATGCATTTTAAAATTTTAGTCGCAATTTAAAATTTTAAAGATCGTTTGTAAAGAAAAGGAAAGGCTATTTCATTTCTGAGAAAGTTCTATTCCATTTCTAGTAAAGTGAAACAATGACAAGCTACAAAAAGAAATGCAAAGAAATGAAGAAGAGACGGAATATTTTTGACTAAGAGTTAGTTTCTCTCATCATGATTATTGTATTTCATTTTGTTCATGATAAATGTATTTCAAGAAATATAAACTCATTGGACCTATTGGAAATACATTATATAAATGCTTAACAAACTGGATTTCATAATTTTTTTTAATGTGTATAATTTCCTTATATACACAAATAAAATATTTATTTTCTTTTCATTAATATGCAAAATTACATCATTTGAAATGTCTCACAGGAGCAGTTATGCATTTAGTTCATGCCTAGAGATGCCAAGTCATGCGACTACTTCTCATAAGAAAGATACTTGTTTCATTTTCAGGTTCAAAATTTTTCTGCCTTAAGATTAATTTGTAAAACTTATTTAGCCAATATTGAGATATTTCGTAACTTTTATAAAAACTCAGAGAAAAAAAATAATTAGAGGATAATCCATTATGGGATTTAGCGTAATACTGTTGCTTCACGATTAAATTAGTTAATATAAATTTTTTAAAAAAATGAAAAAATAGGATTAATAAAATAACTATGCATTATTTTTATATGAAAACAAGCTAAACAAAAACGTTTTCTAAAAGTCATAATTCTCTTTAACCTTTTTGCAGTATGTTCATTCTAATTTTTATTTTAAAAATAGGAAAAGCAACAATATATTTTTAGTAAGATCAAGTCAATAATATCCTCAGTTAAAAGTCGAGGCAGCGATATCTTTTTTAGTGTGATCAAATCAATGATATTCTATCTTAGATAAATTTACTTAAAACTATCCTTCTTTTGATTGCTGGAACACTAAGCGATAGAGGAAGAGAGGCAAAGGGAAGAAAAGGAGTATTTCTTTTTTGAAGCTAGAAAAAATAAAGAAAACTGAAATATATTTTATTCAATATAGCCCTTGAAATTTTATTAGTCATTTTTAGACTTTTGAAAATTTAATATACATACAAATATATATATGTGTATTTAAAACTGTCAATTAATCTCGACAATTTCAGATTTAAGCAGATGTTTTTTTTTTGAAAAGAAAAAATAAATAAAAGAAAGAAAGAAAATTTCTAGCATGTTAGTAAATTAAAAAAAAAAATAATAAGCCCACTTACAATAATTTATTTCTTCTTAGCTTAAGAAGAGCACAATTAAGTTTTCCTCTCAGAAAGCGAAAGCAGACAAAAACACTTTTTCTTTCAATGAAATGAAAATGCTCTTCCCTTAGGAAGTAAGGATTAAGTCTAGAACAGTCTTTTCAGTTTATTAGCCGTAGGGTTAAAGAAAAAGAAACAAAAAACGAAACAATGTTTTGACCTAAAAGTTTAAAACTAACCTCTAAAAGTTGTGTCTTCGGAGATGAATGTTGTCTTCCGGTATTCTTCTATACTGAAAAATATTTTCGATTTCTCAACCGAATGGTTTCGATCTTTTAAGAGCTGCTAAACACTCTCTGTTTAGTTTTCGAATTGTAATAAATTCACATTGAATGCAAGGTATTTATGAAACAAAGAAACGGTTATCGACGCGTAATCTACCCGTGAAATACGTAACGTATTACGATCACTCTGGCCTCGGCCAATCAGAAGGCCAGCTGATACGCAACCTAGGTTTTCCATAACCAATCGGAAACCGGTCCGCTAAAACTTGAAATTTGTTTGAGAATATTCTAAAAATTCTTAAAGGCAAACTTTGATAAAAACATAACAACTCGTAATCAAAGGAAGTTCTGAAAACTCATGATGTTTATAATTTTTTTACGTAACTATTATGTCTGTGACATCAAATTAAATTGTTCACTACCTCAATGCCGGCTCTTGATGCTAAAGTAGATAATAAATAATAATAAAAAAATAAAAATTTGAAACTGTTCATAACTTGAAACATTTAGAAACACTTATATCTGTCATTAAGTTACATGAATTGATTACTTACATTTGCTTCCTTTACTATTAAAAAATGATTAAAGTCATTCAAATTAATCGATAAATTTTATCAATATTTACATATGCAAGGTTCAATTTATTCTTTCAAAGAATTTTTTAATATTATAGGGATACATATTATGAAGGAAAAATATTTAATTCAATTTGTTTCTTTTCATGAATTAGAAAAATTATTGTTTACATGAATGATCTATTATGAAATTTCACGTTTTCTTTCACGGGATCTATTTTTGTCTCTAACATGCAGAATGCATTTAAAATTATGATTTAGAATGTAAATAGAGTTTTGTACCCTTTATATTTACAAAACACCAATAACATTCTAAAGCGTTTATTTCTAATGGTTTTACTTTAATTAATCTAATAAGAGAAATCTCCTGATTTGAAATAGATTTGCTTTAACTTATAATGTTGCTATTTAAAATTGTTGCAATTGTAATAAATTTAATTTCATCAATTTTTTTAACCGTTTCTTTCATGAGATTAATTTTTGCCTCTAATATGAATGATGCATTTTAAATTGTACTTTAGAATGTAAATAGTGTTTTTGTACTACTTACATTTTACAAAACACTATTTACATTTTAAAGCATTTATTAATAATATTTTTACTTTTAATATGACTAATTTAATACGAAATTTCTTAATTTGGAATCGAAGTGTTTCAACTTATAATGTAAGAAATAAAAGGAATTTGAAATTGTTGCAATTGTAATAAATTTAATTTCATCAATTTTTAATCTTACATTTGCAAAAAATACTTTAAATTAGCCTTAAGGCAGCAGTTATACTAAATTTTAATATTAATGACTTTCATTGCTACGATTCAAATTTCTAACTGTATTTTATGAATTTACAGTTATTTACATGAAAGAAATTCCAGGATCAATTAATTTTTTTAATTTAAGATTTCATTTGATATAATAGTAAAAAACTTCGGTTTTTAATATAATAGTAAACTAATTGAATAGCATAATAAAAATTAATTTAATTTGTTTGTTTACAAGAATTATACAATTTGATGTTTACGGAAGGGGGGGGGCTCTCTGTTAAGATGGGATGAAGAAGAAAGTTTTAACTATTGTTCAAACCTTTTTTGTCTTTTTTGTCTTGAGTGAAGATGCAGTCTATATTAGTCTTTCGAATATAAATAGTGTTTATGCACTGTTATAGATTGTTTTTACTTTTAACATAACTTATTAATTAAAAAATTTTCTAATTTGAAATAAATTTGTTTGAACTTATATTATTGTACAAGATTAACGCGATAAAAAATTGTCGCTATCACTCATTAATATTTCATAATCTTAAATTTTATCAAATTATGTCATCCTTAAATACGCGAAAATTCTTTAAATTAGCTTTAAATCAGCATATTTTTCATTTTATGTAAAAATTGATAATTTTCCTTTTTTACTGCAACTATTACAAATTTGTACCTGTATTTTATTCATTTCTGTTATTTCCGTGGAAGAAATTCTACAATCAATTGATACTTTCAGTTGAAAGTTCCACTGAGAAAAAAAATATGGTCAGAACTACCAGAATATGGTAAAATTTATTGTGTTTCTGTCTCAATGGAAACACCAAAAAGCTTGGTAATTTTTACCAAACCACTTAGGTAATGATCTAAGGAAAATTTACAATAAAATATGATTTGATAATCTGTGATAAAATTTGACAAATGTGGTAGAATTTGGTAATTTCATATTGATACCCTAGAAGAGCATGGCATAAAATCATTTATTTGGTCATTTTTCAGTTTTTCATTTTTTCACTAAATGTGTGGTAATAAGAACCACAGTTTTATAAACCAGAATTTCTGACAAACCGTTACCTAATGAACGGAAAAATTTACCACATGAATGGTTCAAAAACCATATATAACCCTATATTTTGGTTTTTATTACCAAATTTTTTCCCCCAGAAAGTCATTACCAAACAAAACGGTAATTTCACCAGAATTTTATTCTTCTTGCATTTATTATATTATAGGATTATAAAGTATTCAAATAATAATATTAGGGAGATTTCGCAATGTTAGCTTCCGCACGCTTCCGTACTTAAGATTAAACCAACTGCGCATGCTCGCGTTTATTTTAAATGCTACGTATTTGTACGTTATGTTGGCGTGATCTACGCTACAAAGACAAAGCTACGTTTATAGTTGTTAAATGTTGTTTTCTGTTGAAGCCTACCTTCGAACTTAAAACATGGACATGGATTGAGAATTTGAAGAAATGTATTGATTAAATTTAGAAATGAATCATGTGGTCCTCAACAATTGATTCGTTCAATAAAAAAATAACTTTATTGTTTATTTTTTG